ACAAACACCGGTTGTTATCATGCACTGCGTATTCTCATTCCATAACGTCGACGTCGTCTTTTATCGCGTCTTTCCGTCTTCATACCTTTTCTTTCTTCCGTTTCTACTTCTTCTTGTTCTTCGTAACAGAAGAATAAAAATAATTTTCTAACTAATGGAGCTTTTGAGGGTGGCTCTAAAACAATTGAACCTTCTCAGGGATATCCGACGTTCTGTTGGTGACCCGTGCAGATGTGCAGATGGTAGGCCTTCACAACATACATCAATGTATGTATGAATAGAAGCGTCCATTTCGTCATCGTCTTTTCGAAGATGATGATCATGGTCGTACTATTCATACATACATCGATGTATGTTTGCCTAACCATTGCCGGCTTTGTCCACTGTACGAGCCAGCAGAATACGGAGGGTATCTCTGGTCGCGCGTGCGCGAAATTTTGCAACTGCTTGCTTCGGCGACTGTTGGGTTCAAGATGGCCACTTTATTTTCTCTTTAAAAACGAAAAAACAAACAATTACATTTTCTTTTTTACATTTTCAATGTTTCTTTTCGACTGCGCAATGTTGGGATGATTGGACGGAAGTGATTTCTGTCGTATCTCAAGTCCTTTTTGCAGAAATGAGAGTGCTTTTGAGTACTCGCCCATGTTATCATACACATTACCGATGTTGTTGTAGGGCAGGGCCAAGTTCGGATGGCTTGGAGGAAGAGATTTCTTTGCGATTTCAAGCGATCGTTCGTACGATGAAAGCGCTTTTGAGTACTCGCCCATGTTATTATACACCATACCGATGTTGTTGTAGGAAGCAGCCAAGGCGGGATGATTCGGAGGGAGAGCTATTTTCTTGATTTCAAGTGATCGTTCATACGATGAAAGTGCTTTTGAGTACTCGCCCATGTTATCATACACCATGCCGATGTTGTTGTAGTCAGAAGCCAAGTCGGGATGATTTGGTGGAAGAGCCCTCTGATCGATATCAAGTGCCTTTTCGTAATGTGAAAGTGCTTTTGAGTACTCGCCCATGTTATCATACACCGCACCGATGTTGTTGTAGGAAGCAGCCAAGTCGGGATGATTCGGAGGGAGAGCTATTTTACGGATTTCAAGTGATCGTTCATACGATGAAAGTGCTTTCGAATACTCGCCCATGTTATCATACACCAACCCGATGTTGTTGTAGGAAGTAGCCAAGTCGGGATGATTCGGAGGGAGAGCTATTTTTCGGATTTCAAGTGATCGTTCATACGATGAAAGTGCTTTTGAGTACTCGCCCATGTCATCATACGCCCAACCAAGTTTATGGTTGTAATCTGCTCGATCCGTATCAGAAGTTGCCTGTGGTAGGAGTATCTTGTAGAGCTTTTCAGATTTTGCAGGCTCGCCCAGCTTGAGAAGTATGAAAGCTAGTTGTGACCATCCTCGTTTTGGTGCTTTCGAGTTGACATCTTCGCGTATGTGTGCTGTGAGTTTGTTAAAGTCATCATCTTGATTACCCACAAGAGTGAGATTAACTTGCCATAAGCGATCAGCATTCTTGTCTTCAATTCTTTCGATGCGATCGATACGAAATATTGTATGTGTTGAAAATAGTATTTCTTCCTCTTTATCTTTGTAATAACCAACTTTGCTTACTTCAGCAAATGGTGTCGATGATTTTGTGCAAATAGCCGTGTCAATGTTCATAATGAAAAGGATGCCAACTGAATTTGTATTAGATGCTGCTGGTCGTGCAAAGTTGTTGAAAGATATTTGACGATTACGACTTGTTGACAGGAAATTATTGAAGGACATAAGTCCTCCTTTGGTTTTTTTCATTTTTTCAAAATCTTCCATGGACAAACCTTGTCCACGGAAGACTTGAAAATTTGTTGGCATGTTTCCTTGTTGTTCACTATGTAATTTTGTAATATGTTGATGTAAATGACGTATGAAAAAGCCCATTTTCAGGATAATATCGACATCCATTTCTCGGAGCCCACGATTGAGCATTGAGTACATGAAATAAGGAGCCGTATACCACCAAATTGATGTATGATTTCGGTATTCTCGCTGCACTTTTTTTATTTCATCTTCATCAACATCATCTTGAAGACGACAGTACTCTATGAGATCTTTAATTGATTTGACATCGTCATCTTCAATTTCCAAAAGTGCTTCTTTTAATAATTGCGTATACATAAATAAGGCATCACGACCATTAAAGCTGATCGAGATCATTGCTCGATCACAATTTTCACGATCGATTTCAAGTGCTTGACAAATTGGTTTGATTTTTGTGTATACACCTTTAACCTTTGGTACTTTATTGGCCCATTGTTCATGAGCTGCTTGGTTGCGACAGAATACATAGACTGACTCCAGTTGTGGCCATGCTTCAATATCTGCTATTATTTGCCGTCCGAGTGAACCAGATATGATCATAAATACCTTTTGATTTGTAACGGCACTGAGAAAATCAATGCATTCTTGAGCATCTTTAAATGTTTCGATGCTTGCTACAACACGTCGCAGGCGTCGAAACGATTTCTTGAAATCGTCATTGGATTCATCCAATTTGGCATCAAGCCATAGAAGCCGGAAATTTTGAAGAACCCGACGCCTAGGTCGAGGCAGCACAGCAGCAGCACGACTGTTCGCGTTGGTAATAGTGGTGGTGCTAGGCATCGCTGCTGCACCACTGATAACAGTTGTTGTCGACTTTTGTTTGCTCATTGTAATCGAACGAATGAATATAATCTGTGAAACGAAGTCCTCTATATTTATAATTGTTAAATTTTTTGTTGGTTAACATCATTCCTTTTCTGACTTGTGGCTACAGACTTCAAGAACCTCTACTATCTGGTTCATTTTTGTTTCAAGAGTGTTACTGACAAAATACATCGAACCATAAATAAAGAAGAATGGCTAAGGAAACAAATAGTCGCTGAGGACGGACGACATGACTAGTCCGAAATGTCGAAAATACCTGTCCTAACTAGTTATCCTGACATGAAAACTCCTGCAGCTACGTCTGAACTAGTCCAGAATGTCTTCAAACTTCGACATGTCTAACCCGTTTCTCTATCTAATCAGGCCAGATTAGTCGGTAGCAGTGTTTCTAATGAGAATTTCTAGTAGAGTGCGCAATCCGCACTCTGTTTTACATTATAATTTTTCGCGCACTCTGAAATTTTCGACAAAGTGTACAGCGTGCGCACCATCTAGAAAACAAAAGGAATATTGAATAAAATCAATTTAATATTCTGTTTGAATTTTTTTCATTTCAAGGTTATATAAATAAAGCTTGATGAAATGAACTATGTATAATACATATTCATAGAGAAAAAGTAAAAAAAAAAGACTCGCGTAACGATAATCGCAGAACTCTTACTCGTATATACTTATTTAATGTTCAACAATTTCAAAACAACTACTCAAAAAACAAAAAACAATATTTAATGTCGTTTTCTTCAATATTCATATATACCAAACAGGCTTGCCGATTAGGGGGGGGAGGGGGGGATGGGGGGGATTTCCCCTCCCTAAAATGCTAGGCTGTCTGCCAAAATTTTTAACACTTTCTGCGAAAAAAATTTAATATTGTCTGGGAAATTTTCACTATTTTTGAAGGAATAGAAGCATTTTCTGCCAAAATTTTATCCCCCCCACTCCTGAAAACAATCGACAACCCTGATACCAAACATGAAAAGTTGTTTAAAATTCGAAAGTGCTACTGTCAATGAGTTAAAAGCGCAAATGGACATTTGTTACGCAAAGAAAAGAATAGCTTTGTGTAGGACATAGTGTATTTGTAAAATTCATAGTGTACTGTGCGCACTTTCTTTTCTTATTCAAGGTATAAACAGAGTGCGATTGAAAAAAACAAAGTTTTTGTGCACTTTGCTCTGTATAGCGCACTTTGTCATTAGAAATACTGGTCGGTAGACCAGAAAAAGAGTACTTTCTAAAAGTAAAAATTGTGCCTTTCATTACTGGTACTCGCGTTGAAATTTATGCACACAAACAGTTACTCTGTTTAATATGCTTTACAATAAGATTATTTTATACATACAAGATTCTGCAACCAAGACAATCGATTGCATGTTCTGAGTATTATCAAGCGAAGTTCTCGTAAAACTACTTTATAAACATAAAAATAACACATGTTTATATACCGTCATTTTTTTTGTGTGTAGCTACTCTTTACTTTTCACTTTAATTTTCTTACTAGTCTAATAATGTTAGAAACTAAATACACTTACGTGCTATGTAATATTGGAGTGTAGCAAATTTTGTTTTGTGTGCTTGCAATCGATTTTATTCTGTATTTATCATTGACAAAATTACTTGGTTTTTTCCCACAAACGTATATTTACATGAATCAATGAAGCATGACTTTTTCATCATGTAAACGACTTTTTCGACCATGTGTTCGTCATAAAATACGTTTCGTTTTTCATATATTCTACTTCTTCCTTTTTTACCTTACCTTTGCGTTTCGTGTTGTTGCAATGATAAAATATACACTGATACTTGTATAAGCGTAAATTTGAGTTATAATGATTCATTAGACTTTGAACTTTATTCTAATCTCTATATAAATATTTTCTATCGTAAAATTTTTTTTGAAATTGATAATTATAGAAGTAGTGTTGAAAGCTTCAAAATAAATAAATGAAAAATTTTATATTTTTTATTTTATCGTTCGATGTATGAAAAACTCTATTTATCACTCAAACTTCGTTAGATGCATCCGAAGAAAGTATGGCGAATGTGCTTTAAGAAGACTCAGGCATTTTGAGAAGTGGGTGTGAGTGTTTGTATTGCTTATCCCTACACATCCCGACCCTCAATTATTTGGTTTAAATATCTAAGAATTTCAATCATAATCAAGCAATAATCAACAATCAATGAATAGAAGTAAAAATATTGATACAAATCAATAACATCTTTCAATCAGTATTCAACAAATAATGAATGACTTTAATTTCAATGTAAATCTTTTTTTAATGTGTTGATATGGTATGTTACATTTGTTTACAACATAATGATCATAATGTTGTATCAAGTTCATCGCAAACACATGAAATTATACTTAAATATTCAAATTTATTTGATTTTGATCAATTATTAATTTCAACTCAAATTGGATCTATAGAAGAAATTCATGTTAGTGAAGCCTGAAAAACAGGTAAATATTGAGGAAAAAAAACAAGAATTTTTTTTTTCTAAAACAATAGCTTATTCAACATATCAACGTTGATTTATTGAAATGAATGATGAATTCGATTCAACATCAATGATTAATAATGAAAAATGAATATCAGCTGCTAAACTTGTTAATCAATTATATTTTTTTTCCGATTGGATATATACTTAATATGGATGGTATGATAAAAAGTGATGATGAATCATGTATTAATGTTAAATGTGCTATACCAATATGTCTATCGTATTTATAAACAATTTGATCCATTTGTTTATCTTACTAAAAGTATGTTTAATTCTTGTTTGACTTTTTTTTATAATCCAAAATTATTTCTAATGTCGTAACAGTAGGAGGGCCTAGATGAAGGGGATTGTGGCAGAGTTTAGTTGACGTGGCTTCAATTGGTTAAAGTCTCAAAGTTTTAGTGAAAGTTATCTGATAGATATGACAATTTCACTATTAAATTGTTGAAACATATATATATATATATTGGAATCTGAAAATTCAAGAAAGGAGATTTCTCAATATTGATTCAGCAGCTCTAGTCCTATTCCTATTTTTAATTTTTTTGAAATCAACAAAAGACTAGAACATTATCAGACTCGAAAAGATATCAAGTAGAACACTTTATTGAAGCTCAAAGCCTGCATTTATACATCAGAGATTGAAATCATACAATCACACAATTACTTCAAAAAATAGTTCTAAGCCGAAGTTCGAGATATGAAATCAATTGTATCCTCTAAGGAGTTTTTCTTTAGTCTTTGAAGATTTCTGATTAAATATAGTTTTGTAATTGATATGAAATTTCCTAATGAGAAAAATAAAATTCCCATCTCTATATGACTTGAAATACATTAAAATTTATCGAACATCAAGGCATCTTTTTTTTTCCTTTCTTTAAGATATTACATATCTTTTATCTTTATGTGAACATGGTGATCTACATTTACGTGGTGCATGTGCAAGTTTACTTGCTACATTAATTCAAACAACAATTCATCTTTTATTAAACAATGTTCACTTGTATCAACTGATTCACAAGACAGATCAAGGTTATATGTCTTAATGATAATAATGCACGTGTTATACATGTTTCATTAAATGCTTTACGAACATTATTACCTTTTTTTATTAATTAATAGTCATGGATTTACAATCATAGGAATTGAATTATTAAAAGATTCTATTCAACATACTACAAGTTCCTATGTTCTTGCTAAAGTAGATAAAACAAAAATATGATTATAATAATTTTTTTTGTATGTATATAAAATAGTTTGCTCTAGCTCAACTTATAGATGATATTGATTTTCGAATATTAACTTATCTTGAACACCAACAATTAAAACAACAGTACCCTGATATACGTGTTCGTCAAGCAACTGCTTCGACTTTTGCTAAGTATGCATTTTGTAGAGATATTAACTAGGTAGCTTTTTTTCGAATTTGAATGAATAAGTCGATTTTATTGCATTAAGTTAGTTATTAGCTACTTTTTGATTTTAAGGTTTGTTGATCACAATTCATTTTTACCATGTCAATGGTTATATAAAATTCATCATTCATTACACGCTCAAGCATCAAATCGAATACAAATTGTTCGTCATTTTTGTCTTTTATATAGGTTGGATGTTTAGAAAATATTTATGTTCTTTCAAATGTTTTAAGACCAACAACAATGCGACCAATTTTTTCATAATCAATATGATGAACTTCGTTTATTTATAAATTTTTTTAAACATTCCTTTATATTACATGATCTTAATAATTTAATCTTTTCAAGTAAAGAGAAAAAAAAGATATTTATTATGTTTTTTTTAAAATTCTTTCTTTTTATTTGAAGATTTATCAAATCTCAACAAATGAAAAAATGTTTTGAAAGTAGCACAAATGATTCAAGTAATTCGAAAAATTGAACTATTTTATCATCATTCTTTTGAACAGAATATAGTTGATATTTCAGTTTTCACAGAAGAAAGGAGTTCCAAAGTGTTAGATTTGAAGAATATATGTAATCATGTTTCGTCTGAACTAATTCATTTGTTTTTTTTTT